AAAAAAACTCTTTCCCGAATACATTTTTTACGAAAATTTCTGCGTAATAATTTTTTTTAAAAAATAATCCTCTTTATTAAATTTTATTACATAAATATAAAAATGTTTATGGATAAGAGCTGAACATCAAACGAAGAAGCTTTAGACTTCGTTTCCAAATTTAACGAAATTTATTTTCAAACTTTTACACACCATTTAAGTTCTTTTGTACAAGACGGTTTCCTTAAGGACTTATTTGAAAAGAACCCCTCAGTACCTAAGGATAAAGCCCAGATACTGATAGAGAGGTTTGGCGACTCAGCCAACCCTGTGAACTTCACTTTACAAGCCCAAGTTACGAATATACAACCTACTACCCTTTCACTAATATTTTCTATAGTGCTATATGCTGCATCCAGGTCTTGGGATAATTTTTCTACCCGATTCCTTTGCGAATTTGGCGATATGGGTGTTGACGATGATGATGACGATGATGATTCTCAGAATACTGAAGATTATCTGATGGATGCATCACATCTGCCGCTTGAAGAAGATGATCTTATACGCCAAAAATTCCAAAAACCACCAAATCCAGTACCTATCAAGCTTCCATCAATGCCTAATGTAGTAATGACCCTTGTTGATCAAACTGTAATACCCGAAAACTCCCAGAAGAAAGATAAACAAAAGGCGCGTGTTACAAATGATAAACAAATCAAGAACCAATCAACGAAGGCAAAACCTGATGTGAAAACATCAGCCCAAAATTCCCATAAGGGAAAGAAATCATCTGAACCGGAGGCTACACAGATACTGACAGGATACGAAGCTATCGGAGAGGAGCTTGAGCGAATCCGAGACATAATAGTTTACGATATCCCGTATACCTGGGACCTGCAGAAAATATTAGCAGAATTAAAACTTTAGGGGAACGCTATTAAATGTTCTGTTAAACGGCAACATAAGTATCAGACTCTTCGAGTCAAGATAGCACTTTCCTCATTTTCCCTTTCCCAGTTTAACAAATATTGGACGATAGACCTGGGAGGTATACCCGTTAGATGGTCTCTGCAAGTTGGACTTTACGAGAAAGAAAGCAACGTGAAAGTTCCAAGCCATTATTCATGACATTCTGGAGGATATGACAATGGCTACCTTGTGGATGGACCGTAAACCATGTGAATTTCTAATGAAGTGCGGTGCTAGCTCATTTAAAATTATTCAAACAAGTAAAGGAAGGAGGAAACTTGTGGCCTATTTCGAGAATTGGGAGACCACACTAAGGGCCTTAGATACGCCACAGTTTTTCGTACCTGATGGTAAGGAGTTGAAATGGTGTTGACACTCCATTCCTACCTTGAAGAAAGCACAAAGTAAACCGAAGGCTAAAAATACTCCAAATATGAAAAAGTCAGGTAAGTCTGACAATAATTTGGATCGTAATCAGCCTAAGAAGAAGGATAATTCTATATCCTCAAAGAAAGTCTCTAAAAGTAATAACCAGGAGGAGAAACACCCGAATACTCAGAAGAAGACAAAGAATTCCTTGAAGAAAAAGAGTAATAATAAAGATAACAAGGCGGTTTTAGCAGAAATTTTAACTTTATTACAGAAGCTAGTTTAGCCTATGCTTTTATTAGCAGTTTTACGAATTTCAGAATTGTATTATTTTTAGGATAGAATATGTTTATGTGTAGTGCCACGATTTCTTGAAAAGGGGACTTGTCCTCTCCACTTTTTTTTTCTTTTACCCAGTGTGCTTGCCTGGACCTCTATCGGACGTGATAGTGGTACAGTCTTTTTTTTTAGGAAGTTAGGGTCGGTTTCCAGCTTCTCTGGTTGTCGATGGTGGGCTTTTTTTGGGTCGTATTACTTGTAATCAATCCCTCGCTGTATTCCCCGCCTGCTTCACATAAAATAAATAAAAAAAAAGAGAAGTAGGCCACTTTAAGGTAAGCTGCAAAGTTCGTAGCATAATAAGGACCTAATTTGCCTGTTTGGAGTAGTGGATAACAATGAAATCCAAGATAGAAAATGACATATAAGTCGTTTACACAGGGAGTCATAAGGATTAACATCTTTACTGAAAAATCTACTAATTAAGGCTATCAATGGAAAAGTATGAGCCACAGAAAGAGCTTTGCATTGAAGACCATAATATCCATTGGTAATTCGCATAATCTGTATTTCTGACAAGTATAATACTTGAAAATGGAATTGAACTTTCGGTAAAATAACCAAAGAGTGAAGATATGCCAATTGAGCAGGTGATAATTTCTTGAACCGTACAGATGTGACAAAAGAAGAATAAATGTCTTTGAGTTGTGAAAGAACAAAGTTAGGGGATCCTTGCAAGTTAAACCAAACACCCAAAAATCGAAAAGATGAAGATAATTTCAGAGTCTGTAATGAAAAGCTCATTGAAGAAAGATAATCCAGAATTTCGAAATCCAATTGAAATGTAATCAGATTATTGCCAGCTGAGGAGGAAACCAACTTATATTTTGAGAAATTTGCTGTAATATTATTTAAAAAATAGAAATCACGGGCTATGGGGAGTAACTGTTTTAAGCCCGATAAAGAAGAGGCAATCAAAGTGAAATCATCCATATAAGTAAGTTGAGTAATGGGTACGGCAACATCTTCATTATTGTTAATGTCAAGAATATCTGCAGGAATACCGGAACTCCATATATAAGAGGAAATTGCTGATGATGATAATTCAGTTAAAAGAAGATCAAAATAAATGGTCCAAAGGAGTGGGGAAATAACCTTGCCTTGATCAATACCAATCAAGAGGTTGTATAGTTCAGTTTTTCCAAAGGGGGTTAAGATTCTATTCTTTCTAGAGGTAAACAGGCTTACTATAAAGTCAGAAAGATTAGAGGAAATTTTAATCGATCTATAGAATCGAACACTTTGGAAATATCTTGACTTAAAATCCACAATTCTTGAGGGAGTTGGGAAACACGATGACTTTTCATAATGCCATTAAGTATATTAATAGGAGTGTTAACAGATGAACCAGGAAGTCCAGCAAAATTATCGCCAGTAAGCACTTGGTATTTAGCCATTACTTGAGAAAGGCGATCAGTGACGATTTTAACTAAAAGTTTTTGAGCAGTTTCCAATAAGGTGATTGGGCAGGTATTATTCAATAAACATTCGAACTCATGAGGTTTAGGAATGGGTACAATAGAAGCCAGGCACCAATCCTTGGGAATATCTGAAGACGCCAAACAGGAATTCATCAGTTTGCACAAGTAAAGGAGTCCCTCAGGAGATAATAATCTGAACCATTCATAAGGTATACAAGATGGACCAGGAGCCTTGTGGTGCAGAGAAATATTAATAACAGCCCGAAGTTCATCTTCAGTAATAGGTGCCATAACCATTAGGTATATATCTGAGTCAATTGAAGTGAGAAGAATATAATGACTTTTCCATCGATCAGGAAGATTTTCAAGAGTTTTGAATGGAGATCTACTAGGACCAACCACATCTTGAAAGTGCCTAATGGCAGCCTTATGAATATCATCCGGTGCAATCAACAATTGAGGATTACCAGGAATATCAGTAATAAGTACTCAATACTTCATTTTTCACGATTCAAAGAGCTTTGAATAAATTTTCTTTGTCTTCATAAAGTTAGAATTCCGTTCAGCAATAGCAGCTTTCATAGCGGCTTGCTTATGATTGTCAAATTTTAAGGTGACTTTTCCAGAAATAAACCTTTTAACGGTTCGTAAAGTTATACAAAATTTCATTAGGAAGATAGATAAACCGAATAAAGCGTTGTGGGCAAAGGAAAGGCATCAATAAGAGCAGTTTGATCAGGAAACAAATCAATAAATTCTCTACAAAAAGAAGGGAAAAATTGATTCCAAGAATTATAAAGATTGGAAATTGAAAAAACTTTAAAAGTGAACTAATATAATGATCCAATTTGTGACTAAGATGAATAAAAGGTCTAAGTTCAAATGGAACTGTTTGGGTTTGTTTAAAGAAATTACTCATTTCGGAAAAGCACAATGAGCGGTATTGAGTAAGGCAGATTTCAATCGGTGCCAGTCTTTATTAAGATGTCCATCACCATTAGAGTATGCTAGTTTCTTAAGACCAGAATCCACTTTAGCAGTGAAAAGAATTTTTTGATCAAGAAGGGTAGCATGGACATTATATTTAATTCGGTAGCATGAACGCTGCTTTAAGCATGTAGATCTTGAATAGTAAGAAAATCAAAGAAAGCGATCAATAAAAAGTGATTAGTACTAAAGGTATCTGAAGAATCTAGGACGTGAGACCATAAATAAGCAGCAGGAAAAGCAGGGGAAGTCCAAAGATAATTCAGACGAGATAGATGTTTAGAACTCGAAGATCTAAATGTAAGTAGGGGGATAAGGAATCAAAAGCACACAAATCTTCAAATTGGTGCAAATGTAAATAGCGAAACAAAGGATGAGTAGAAGATGAAATAGTCGGATTAGAAAGGTTTTTAAGGTAACAGTCAAATTCAGCATTCAGGTCACCGCCTAGTAAAACGTGAGCACCAGCAGAGCACGCTGCAGTAATACAGGAGACAAGAGTGGAGTGACATTCAGAGATTGATTTATTATTGCCAATAATGAAAATATCTTGTCGACCAGGTAGCTGAAGAAAAAAGGATAACAACCAGTCTTTATAAAACTGTTTTCTAATTACATACATGGCTAAACTAGAATGAAGAATTATGCCAATGCCTGCATGATGGTTGACGGAAGGTGAAAATGAAAAAACCATTTATGGTAATTATATTGAGAAAGATAAGGTTCACACACGTATTTGTGAGCGGGTAACCGTAAATTGGTATCAGTAAAAATTAATCCGTGAAGTTAATGAGAAAAAAGTAAAGAAAATAAATTCAATTGTTTGGTAGAGTTAACTATAGACCGAACATTAAGGTACCGATACGTAAAATATTAGAGGAATTAAGTTCACGACTAAACTGCTCAGGGGAAGTATCAAAAATTTGAGTAGAGGAAAAGGAAAGTGAAGAATTTATATCACGCACACAGTTAGGAGGGTGTGTCAATCATTTAAAAGGGAAGGTGGATTCGGAAAAGAAAAAGACTAATTTTTCAAGAATGGATCCTAATTGATTGGAAAGATTTTGTTGAGTATTGGAGACCAAGGAGATTTCTTGACGCAATCTTATTGAATCATTAGGAAAGCCGCCAAGGTTGACATGATTAGCATAGCGGACATCTTTACTTTATCACAATTTTATCAATCATTTGTCGATCATTTATTCAATTTTATCACTTCGTTATAATTACTTTGGTTGAAAATCCTACATAATAATAATTTTACAGACAATTTAACATTCATTTAAATTTACTGCATATTAAATTTATCAAAAAAATTCTTTAAACAGTTAATAAAGTTTTACAAATTTTGTCTATATGGGGTGGGGACACGCACAGCAAAACAAGGGGATAGGATTTAAAAATTTTTTTTTGAGACTTCATTACAACTGTAATTTTTGGATAAATTGGATCATAATTATCATATAAACTTAAGAAATTTTTTTTTGAGGCTATCCCCTTGTTTTGCTGTGCTTATCCCCATATGTGTATTTTAATAATATTCATAAACATTTGCTCAATGATAACTTTTGATTACCTAAAATTCTACATGATTATTTTGGCTATTGATTCTTGAATACCTAAATAATATATTTTGAAAATTTCAAATTTCGCCTGTAAATCTGTGGCTTCGCCCGAAGCTCCAAAGTCAAATTAGCAGATGATCAGCAAATATAGGCAAATATTAAATTATTGAAAATTTCAGTTTAAGGTTAACTTTAACAATATAATTTTTTTTATTTTTCATAAATTATACTACTAAAAAGACATTAGTATAGTTTGGCTAAGAATTTTATGGCTTTAACCATAGCTTCAAAATTAATGTGACATGATATCGATGAATGATCAGCAAAGTGATAAAAGCATGTTCGCTATGCTGACATGATTAGGTAAAGGAGCGTGTCGACTGGAAAGGGAAAGTATTGCCCGATTTTGTATTGTGTAATGATACACCTAGTTTACATTAATTATACCCTTTTTTATTATTTTTTTTTTGTTTTCCCATAAATTTACAACTTGTTGAACCCGTTTCACAGTTAAAAAAATAATGTCACATTACACTGAGTTATCTCTTCAAGAGAAGGGAAAAATACTAGTGTATATGGAAAATTTCAATTCTGCACAAATAGCAAGAAAAATGGGACATGACCCTATCACAATACGCAGGTTTATTGACAAATACAAGAAGACTGGAAAAACTGAAAATTTACCGTGTTCAGGACAGCAATCTGCTCTCAATGATAATGAAAAAAATGCACTCATTAATGAAGTTACTAAAAATTGACGTATACTTTACATGAAGTTATTAATAAATTGAAGTTGAGTTGTAGTCTAACAACTGCTAAACAGACATTATATGATGTTGGAATTCATTCCCATGTTGCCACAAAAAAGCCTTTTATATCAAAAAGGCATGCATCAGCTCGTATTAGTTGGTGTGAAAAAACAGCTCGTGATTGGGCACAAGTTATTTTCTCTGATGAATTAAGTATTGAGATTGGAAAGCAGTCACGACAAATAAGAGTTTGGAGGCATACAGGGGCACTGAATGTTTGACACCTATCTTTAAAAGTGGTCAAAAATCAGTTATGGTTTAGAGATGTTTTGCGAGAGGGATAAAAGGACCATTGATTTTTTGTGATGAAAATAAGGAAGGAAATGAAAAAATTAATTCAAATACATATGTTAGAATCTTAAAAAAACATCTCCATCCATTTAATCATACAGTTTGCGAATTAACAGGAAGGGCTGCAACTTTTCAACAACATAATGCACCCATTCATACCGCAAAAATAACTAAAGATTGGTTAAAGAAAAATAAAATTACGATTATTGATTGGCCGGCCAATTCCCTGATTTAAATCCGATAGAGAACATTTGAAAGCAGTTAAAAGACAATATCCAGAGTCAGGAGGTCTTTCCTAGAACTGTAGGTGAACTTAAAGCCACACTAAGTGAAGAATGGGAAAATTTGGACTGCTCCGTTTTTGAAGATGTTGTTGCACATTATTAGCCATTTTAAAAGTTATTTTTTTATGTAAATTTTAATGAGAATTAATAAAGTTTTGCCGACTTTAACATTATTTTTAAATCGGGCAATACTTTCCGACACGACTGTACAGGTTTATTTATTTTTATTTATTTTATGTGAAGTCGGCAGAGAAATATACAAAGGCATGACTATATAGTACAACCTAACTAAGATCTACTATCGACAACCAGAGAAGCTGGAAGCCAACCCGAACTTCTTGAAAAAAAAAGGACCTGCACTACTACCACGTCCAATAACAGTCCAGGCGAACACACTGGGTAAAAAAAAGGAGAGGGAAAAAAAGTGGAGAGGACAAGTCCTCTATCCAAGAAATTGTGGTACAACACATAAACATGTTCTATCCTAAAAATAATACAATTCTGAAATTCGTAAAACCGCTAATTAAAGCATAGGCTAAACTAGTTTCTGTAATAAAGTTAAAATTTCTGCTAAAACCGCCTTGTTATCTTTATTATTACCCTTTTTCTTTGAGGATTTCTTTGCCTTCTTCTGAGTATTCGGGTATTTCTCCTCCTGGTTATTATTTTTAGACTTTGTTTGAGGATGCAGGTTTATCCTTCTTCTTAGGCTGATTACTGTCTAAATTCTTGTCAGACTTACCTGAATTTTTCGTATTTAGTGTATTTTTAGCCTTCGGTTTACATTGTGCTTTCTTCAAGGTAGGAATGGAGTGCCGACACCATTTCAACTCCTTACCATTAGGTACGAAAAACTGTGGCATATTCCTTTACTTGTTTGAATTATTTTAAATGAGCTAGCACCACACTTCATTAAAAATTCACATGGTTTATGGTCCATCCACAAGGTAGCCATTGTCATATCCTCCGGAATGTCATGAATAATGGCTTGGAGCTTTTCACGTTGTTTTCTTTCTCGTAAAGTCCAACTCGCAGGGAACCATCTAACAGGTATACCTCCCAGGTCTGTCGTCCAATATTTATTAAACTGGGGAAGGCTAAAGGAGGAAAGTGCTATCTTGACTCTAAGAGTCTGATACTTGTGCTGGCGTTTAACTGAACACTTGATCATAGTTTTAACTCTGCTATAATTTTCTGCAGGTCCCAGGTATACGGGATATCGTAAACTATTATGTCTCAGATTCGCTCATGCTCCTCTCCAACAGTTTCGTATCCTGTCAGTATCTGTGTAGCTTCTGGTTCGGATGATTTCTTTCCCTTATGGGAATTTTTGGCTGATGTTTTCACATCAGGTTTTGCCTTCGTTGATTGGTTCGTAATTTGTTTATCAGCTGTAACACGCGCCTTTTGTTTATCTTTCTTCCGGGAGTTTTCAGGTATTACAGTTTGATCAACAGAGTCATTACTAAATCATCTTCATCAAGTAGCAAAGGTGACATATTTATCAGATAATCATCAGTATTCTGAGATTCATCTTCGTCGTCATCATCATCATCACCCATATCGCCAAATTCGCAAAATAATTGGGCGGAAAAATTATCCCAAGACCTGGACGCAGCATATAGCGCTATAGAAAATATTAGCGAAAGGGTGGTGGGTTGTATATTCGTAGCTTGGGCTTGTGAAGTGAAGTTCGCAGGGTTGGCTGTCTCGCCAAATTTCTGTATCAGTAACTGGGCTTTATCCTTAGGTACTGAGGGGTTTTTTTCAAATAAGTCCTTGAGGAAACGTCCTGTACAAAAGAACTTAAGTGGTGTGTAAAGGATTGAAAATAAATTTCGTTAAACTTGGAAACGAAGTCTAAAGCTGCTTCGTTTGGTGTTTGGCTCTTATCCATAGACATTTTTATATTTATGTAATAAAATTTAATAAAGAGATTATTTTTTAAAAAAAATTATTACGCAGAAATATTTGTAAAAAATGTATTCAGGAAAGAGTTTCGACGTGACTGTACAGGTAAACAGAAAGAATTATTATTATTATTAATGTTTTGATGACAGTTGTCCCAACCAGCATTGTTTGGATAAAAGTCGGGAAGTATTATCAGGAGGGCCATCATAGTTCAACATTGACTTAAGTTTCCTAATACAATATTCATGATCCGTGATAAAATATTCCATCCAACTGACTTTCTTGAGCTGTTGAGCAATATCGTTGAGTTGTATCTTTAATTCTTCTATGACATTAGGAGGTAAAGAGGGCTTGGGCTAAGGGAAGTTGAAGAGGGGTGACCTGAATTGGCTCCATTTTGAGCATTAATTTGGGCATTATTTTGAGAGTTCGCAGTATCAATGCGAGAAAAGCAGGCAAGTGGGAATTATTTGAATGTTCAGTGGAAGTATGGCCACAAGAGCGTGAGTTAAATCATAACCGTGAACGTGATCTAGAGGAAGATTGTGATTGCCAAGAGTCAGGGTAGCCACGTTTGGGCCCAGCATTGAACTGTGTGTAAAGTTTATTCAAACGGTCATTTGTTTTGCAAGTGGGCCGAGGGCTACATCTGGAAGGAGAGTATCCATGTCTTCCACAAATATGACAGAGATTTTTGGCTTCATCAGGAGAGTGCCAGGTCAAACCTTTATTACGAAAAGCAATTGTCAATTCCTTTGCGGCCTCAAAACTTTCGAACGATGAAAAATTCAAATAAGCATAAGGCTTGGGCTTGTAGGAATTGTATGAGAGAGGGATATTGATAGCTTTAGCATTGACATGTGAGGCGATTTCTAAGTCACATGTTCCCTGCAGATATCGTATTAGGGGTTCGAATAAGATGCCGGACAGACGTGTAGGGAATTACCAAGACAAATAATCGCCCAAGTATCAGTAAATTGTGCAACAGGGTCCGCACTGGAGAATTGGACATGGGCGTTGTAGTAATGGTTTCTAGTGGTAGAAAGCCTGTCTGATTTGAAGTTCATTAAGGAAAAGGGGGATATCAGTGACAAATAAAGACTTTTCTTCATCACTATGACGCGCATCTGCAGGTGAATAGGGGGTAAAGACCAAATTGAGAAGATCGGCACATGAGGATTGGACTATACATGTTGCTGAAACTTTTTTTCAATTTCGGCCGCATTTCGGCTCCAAAATATAGCTACTTGTAGATATATCAATAAATTTTTTTAAACCTCAGATAATTTGGGCCAGATCTGCAGCAACTTTTAGCAGACTTCAGAAAATTTCGGCATAATTTGTAATAATTTCGAATCGGACTTTAAAGTTTTGGCCATATATTAAATATAGGTTGTCCGAAATTCCAGAGCCCTGCCGAAATTATGTAAGTTGGTCGAAATTCCTCAAAAGTTCTTTCATAGGTTCTTCAGACCCAGATTAACCTATTTGAAACCTAATTTCAGCCAGATCTATGAAATCAGATGATTTTGCTTTGAAGAGTTTGTCATGTGGGCGAAATAGCCGAAATATTTTGGCAACATGTATAGATTGGACGCATGCGGAATGATCGTCTTAAATAAAGAAGAAAACAAGGATTCTTTTATTGTCTCCTGATTTTTTACAATGAGCACGCGAACTATAAGAAGAATATCGGGAGAGAGCTCTGTCCACTTCATCACACATGGCGCAGTTAGTGGTAAATTTTTCTTTGAACGTGACAGGCGCGTCATGAAGATATGCTGCAGCATAAAATCTGGAAGGAGAGGATTTGATAGCAGCAGCATCACCATCAGGGAAAGGTTGCTTGGCATACAGATACGTCAAAGGCCACAGATTTACCCTTATCATTATTTGGAGGGTTTGTAGAACCAGGAAGGGGATGGGCATGAATTGAAGACTCTAAAGACGTGTCAGTAGGAAGAGGTTAAGTTATAACAGGAACTCTATTAACAGGAAGATCAGAAGGAACGTTGGGTTTAGGGTCAGAGGCAGGAACAGAGGGAGAAGTTATGTCAACGTTCATATCATCAGCAGAGACATTACGTGTTAGTTTATTTGGCATGTCAGAAGCGTTATTAGGAGATAACGGGCGATCTCCAGAAGAAGCCAAAACTTCAGGATGTGGTGGCGGTAAAATATATAGTATAAAGCTCAGTAAAGAGGAAAGCAACTAGGGAAATATTAATTTATTTAACGAGCACTTAGAAATTTTCAAGCAAAAATTTCAAGAAAATTTATTAGTATTTTCAAAAATTGCATATGGGCAGATTTGACGTATTTCATTAAGTAATAAACATGTGATATTATAGAAGTATATATGTAATTTTGTGTAACAAAATAACAAATAAATTATGATTGGCAAATTAGAACGTGAAGATTTAGACTCTCTCTAATATCAATTATTGAGGCGGGAATTGGTTGGGAATTGGTTTTAGGTACACGTGACAGCAAACTTTATACTAAATAAAAGTTATTTTAATGTGTAGTAAAAGCAAAATTGCAAAATTTCCGACCTTTAATATGAGCACTTAAGTTTGAATATGGAAGAAAATCAAAAACGGCTTGAACAGGTAGTATTTCTATTATATTATTATTATATTATTTATGTATAATATTAGATAACGAAATAATAAGTCTATTAGTATTTTATTATATAAGAATTAAAGTTGTACGCATTTTATTTTAATAAGTTATGAAGTTATAATGAAGAAGATAACTTAAATAATAAATATTAGACAAAAGATTATATTATTAATTATTTTGATTAATTTAGTAATTATTTGCGATTATGTGAATTTATATGCAATTTATTTATTTTTAGGGATTAGCGATCAGGAATTTGAATCACCAAATTATAACGAACCTATTTTTATTTGTAACTATCCAACTAGTTCTTTTATTACAATAATTTATTATGAGGTTAATGGAAAACGACATGAAAGAAGTTACAACATTTTATCATTGGGGGAATATCCTTCAAACGTTAAGTATACACAGCGTGGTAAAAAGAATTCTGTTGTCTATAAAATTCCAAATGCATATAAAGTAGAGACAATTTTGGGAGGATTTCAAATTATCTGTGAATCTAATTATTTGCCTAATGGAAAAATCAAATATTCAATTGAATGGAAAGATAATAACAACGTATCTAAAATTATTTCAAATACTCGATCATCTTCAGGTGTGGCAAATGATTTTTATAAGGTGATTGTTATTTTAAACTGAAATTAGAAGCTTTGATTTTTTAGATTTTGTATTTTTGTAATTTGTCCAATATTTAATAAAAAAAATTTTAACTATTGTTATTTTTATTGATAAAATCAGATTATTGGAATGAAAGCAAACTCAAAAGTTTCAGGAGTTTTATTGTTTGGCTTTAACATACCTTGCTTATGAAGCAAGAGAAAATATTACAAATACTCCTATTATAAATAGGAAACGTCCATATACCGAAATTTCTACATCACAGCAGAATAGACGTTTAAATTTACTAGCTAAGGATTTTAAAACTCAATCAAGCATTATTTTGAAAAATAATAACATTAATAATAGTCAATTAAGGTTAATTGAACTTGAAATTGGTGGAGAAGTAGTAGTTATTGATTTTCGATCTCATAATAATTTGGATTTTATGGTTCATTGTGATGCTATACTAAGAGCAATTGATGAGTGCTTGATTTCACGTGATGGATATCGACGTCTTGCAATGGTTGATCCAAGAATTGAAAGAGAATATCGTATTGAAGGGCGAAAACATTATATTAATGAAGTTATGAATTCTCTAATCCCTATATATGATTATATTATTAAAATCCCTTCATCACCTTCAAATCAATCAAAAAAACGTAAAGAAAGAGAAAATGATAATATAGAAGATCTTGGTTCTTCTAGTAATAGTGGTAATAATAATCAAGATGGATTGTGTTCTTTTTGATCTATTAAAGCCCTTCTAGATATCTTAGTTCCTATATGGAAAAAAGGTTCTTCATCTATTTTGACTCCTGGGGATACAGATGGACATATTGTAACTCATCAATACTCACATGTAATGTTTACGGTATGTTTATTAAATGAAAAAGATGAAGTTTTAAAACCAAGTAAGCAATATTGGTGAGTTCATGATTAATTATATTAATTAAATATTTACGTTTAAATTTCTTTAAGTATCCTGTTATACATTGTATCTCAATTTATTAATGAGTTAGATGAAATAAAAGATGGGTATATGGATTGTGAGAATATTATTTGGCCGGTTGAGTTATTTTTTTCTGGAGATTGGAAATTTATGGCGTTAATTATGGAATTAAAGCTGCAAATTCCAATTTTTTTTGTTTATATTGTGAGTGTTCAAAAGAATTGCGTGCTGATATGAATCATTCTTGGAGTATTACTGGAAATAATAAAGGTAAATAATAATATCATTTCAAAAATGTATATTATATTATTTGGTTAAATTTTATTATTAGGACATGCAAATCCATGCTTATTTCCTATGATTAAAACTGGAAATTGGATTCCTGATGAGTTGCATGTGATGTTACGAATTACTGATGTTTTACTTGGATGCTTTTTCTATCAACTTATGGAGGACATAAACCAATTTAAAAAAAGTACATCAACTTTAATTGAACAAGAAATGCATCGTATTGGAATAACTCATTTTCAATTTTATGAATCAAAAACAAAAGGTAAATACGACTGGACTACTTTAAATGGCGTTGAAAAATTAAATGTACTAAAGAATTTTGAAGTAACTAGATCTGTTTCTGGTGATCATGGTAGGAAAATGGAATTTTTATGGCATGAATTTTTACGTTTATATTTATTTTTACGTCAAGATCATATTACTGAAGAAGAGATCGATTCATTTGAACAAGCAGCTAAAAGTTGGATCTTAAAATTTTGTGAGCCAACTATTGGAAAATCAAATAGTGCTAATAAAAAAAAAAAAGGAATGTTCAATCCAACTGATATTACTCCTTACATGCATATATTTGCACATTATATTCCTCAATTTTTTCGTATTTTGAAGAGTAAAAATTTACAATTCAAACATTTTTCTACTTCCAGTCTTGAGAAAAAAAACCATATGCATGTAAGTAATTAATTGTTAATTATTACAACTTACTATATACGTTTACAATTTAATATGGGTTTATAGGTTTGGGTATTTTTTGGTGCAACAACAATGGGAGGTGGAAATAAAGCAAATTCTGTTGTTCACAATATATTAACATATGAAAACCGGCAACTTTACTTTTTGATGAACAATATACCAAAATCTATTGTACAGAAAACAATTGTTCTAAAAGAATGAATTTTTTTAAAAGTTTTAATATTTCTTAAACAATTTTTCTCTAAATTTTTACAAACACCAATTTTCTAAAAAATCTATGTACATAATAATTTTTTAAATGAATATTTCTAAATTAGAATTTCCTATATAAAATAATAAATTAATGAGTGTGAATTGAAGTTATAAGTAAATTTATAATGAACTTTTCAAAAAAAAATTTACCTTCCAATTTTTCAACTATACAATCTTCACACTCCTCCAAAAAATTCAACATATTATCTTGATTTTGCACAAAATAACCAGTTAAAACATTAAAAAAAACTACTAATTTTAAACTATGTAAAGTTAAAGGTTCTTTACCCACTCGGTTTCTAATAACTACATAGTCAGACCAAACAAAAGAAACTTCTTTTTGCCTCTCTTTATCTTCCATAAATACATATGCTTTAGTGCCACTTGTATGCTTTTTTTCTCCCCAATCTTCACAATCAAATAAAGAACCCAAGCGTTTATATCCTAGTTCTCCAGTAAAAACACATTTATATAATATTCAAGTAAGAAATAAATGTAAAGTTTTCTTCCTGAGAGAATATCCTAACAAATAATTCTTCATTAAAGGGTTCAAATATTATTTTTCTATTACCACCTCCCGATCTATGGTATGAAAGTTTTTTTTCTATTCGTAACAAGAGTGAATTCCAGAAATTTTCGCTGATGTAAAGAAAGCCTATTCTTTGTATATAAAGTACTTTTATTATTTAAAAATTGACATAATGGACAAGGAAATTTACTAGTAGGCGTATGTGAAGGCTGCGTCGTGTTCATTTTTTGGTTAAACAAAAGTTTGTGTATTACTAGTTTATCAAATCATTGGCGTTCACAAAACCATATAATCATATCACATTGTTTTAAATGTGACATTTGGCTAATGCGTCCGATTAGCCCATATGGGGGAAAGAGTTGTGTAGATCCTCACAACTCACATTTGAAGATTTAATGCCATTGAATCATTCAACACTTTGATACTGGCATTATACTGAAATGGTGTATAGCATTTAGCCTAACTAATCCTATTAGAATATAGTGTTTTAGTCATATAATTATAACATGCCAAAAATGTCACTACCATATCTTTCCATTTTTATAATAATTCAACATTTAACATATTTCTACAAGAATAAAATGCTTTACTAAATGAAAGAAAATCTTCACCTAATGTTGATTTGAGATGTTTAATAATATTTTGGCATATATAAAATAAACAATAAAAATGCTGTAGCATTAATTAGACCAGGTTTGGAGTCTATCCAAAATGATTTTGGAATGATTCATCTGTCGCCTTTTTTAAACATTGCAAAATCCAAACATATGTTGAAAAAGTTCATTCTTTACTAAAGCATTTGCTACATTTCGAAACTTTCCATAGAACATTGAGTTTTAAGATCATTAAATTCTTTGTATTTGTTAGTTTTACAGGTGTTATTATTTAAAACTACATCATAAAATCGTTGATATAAGTCCTGTTGAGCTGGCGACATTCAAAAAATTCCTAATGTGAGTCTTAAATCATTTTTTTCAAAAAGTACTTCAAGTAATCACTGGTCAAAATTGATGCTATCAGGTACATATTGGGTACCTATATATTAGTGACTAATTAGATACATATCGGACATTTATTACCTGATATGTAACATATCAAATATGCCTAAAAATCAGATTCCCGATATCTAAACGATTAGTCACTGATATGTAACACTGAATCAATCTTACACATATCGGGTACCGATATGCAAAATATTTATTTTATAATCCAAAGAGTTATATTAAAATTATTACTAAAAAAAGTATTTTAATATTAAAGATAATCGTTTATTCATATAAAATCCCTTATTTTCAATTTTTTTTTATTTTTTCTAAGAAATAACTTATCACGAATAACTGACGAAAATATTAAAAATATACATATTTTATTTTAAAATTAATTGGATTGAATGTTCAAATTAATCTTACATACAACTTTATTTTAATCAATTCGTATAAATGCCAATTGATAAGAAAAACCTAATAAAAGTATTTAATCATAATATTTAATTATTTTTATGTTTTTTTACCCTTTTTTTTGTTTTTTTTGTTTTTTTATTTTTTATTTTTTTATTTTCATATTCATTATTATGATATTTGTCACTTTCTTCATCTTGATCAGTATTATAATCATATGTTGAAATTTCATTTGTTGAGCGATTAAATCTTTTAAAAGCCTCGTCAGTCAGACACCAATTTGGTGCATCCACTGGAAGCATACTTGTTGTTGTTTTACATCTTTAAACTCTTTTAATTTTTAGAATTTGAGGTTTTTTCCTCAGTTTTTCAACGGTTGGATCAATCCGATCATGTAATAAATGCTGAAGCTTTAATAAATAATTACTATTAATAAATAAAATAAATAAAATAATCGTAAATATATGGTACATACTGCAGAAGAACGCCACCATGTTTCATATATATGAATTGACATTGTCTTTTCTTTAACAGCAGATTCTTCACCAATTATATCATTTTCTTCATCAGAATCGGTTTCCTCCTACTCCTCTGAATGATAACCAAATTCCTTAANATCTACGAATGTATTTATCATTATTTTCTATTAAATAGTTTGCCGCTTGAGCTCTTCTTTTTTTTTTCTATAATAATAAATAATTATAAAATTAAATAAAATTAACTAAATTCCCACTTCATATTAATAAAATGGTTACTAACGTCCATAGTTCTTGAATTCTTCTTTAATCTCCTCCTATCCATTTTCACCTTGCTTCTTTATATTGTTTACATGATGGCATGAATGCCAACGTCCATGTAACATCTTTAAGATATCACTATTTGAAACATTATACTTTTTGTTGACTAACTTATAAAGCAGTGGAAGTAATTTTGTAATGATAGTTTCTTTCTGCTCAAGCCACGTACGTTCACTATCGATCTCATATATATTCTTTAATTCAGAATCTACTCAGATAAAGACTTCTTTCTATAAATAATAAATAAACGTAAATATTTGGAAAAATTCAATGACAGATAATAAAAAAATACTTACTTTAATTGTTCGATACATATTTTGATTCAAATGAATAGCATTGTCTGACAAGGACGAGGAAGATGAGGAGGTAAATTCTTGATCACTATCCATCATTGCCTACTTTGATTGCTTTGAATGAGAAAAGGAATTTGTGAAAAAAGATTTGTAAGCAAATTTATAGATTTTGAAGTTGTTGAGATTTGACTACGCGAATGAGTAATACGAGATACGTGAACTTGATTTTGAAGAACTGCATGCAAATCTGATCTAAAAGAATAATTAAACGTTTATTTTATCTTACCAAAAACGCAAAACTGATTTTGAAATAGGAATTAAATGCAAAACTAATCTTAATCTTAAGAAAGAATTGAATGTGTATCTGATCCTAAAAGAAAGGTTGAACACAAAATTGAAGAATTGAACGCAAACTTGTTCCTGATCCTAAAAAAGTGTTGAAGAACCTGATTTCGGAAAATTGAATTGATGATTTTTTTGAAAATTTTTTAATAAGCGTACTTTTCATTTGAGTAATTGTAACCTTAACTTTCTTAGCTATTTCATAAAATACAAAATGAATAATAAAAAAAGTAAAATTGAAACCTTTAAACCTCTACCTCTGTTTCTAATTTAGTAAAACCCAAGAAAAGTAAAATTGAAACTTCTGCCTCCGTGTCTGATTTAATAAAATCCAAAAAAACTAAAATTGAAATCTCTACCTCTGTATCTGATTTAATAAAATCTAAAACGGCCAATTCAATAAAATCAAAAAAACCAAAAATGGCCAATTTAATAAAACTCAGAAAAAGGTATTTGTATCTAGTGATCTGATCCTATTTCTAAATGGTCATCCGGATCTAATCCCAAATCTTAAATATTTATTTTTTTATTTTATTAAAAAAAATATAATAACAAGATCTATTTTCTCTTTAAATAGCAAACTTCAAAAAAAGAGGTGTAATAAAACTGGAATAAATATAAAGGTATATTTTTTACTAATTTTATTTATATTATTAATATTTTTTTTAATACTCTTTCTTTTTTCTAATCTAACGTTTGTTTCTACTAATACTACTAAACATACTAACATTTTCTATCCATTTTATTTTTCTTTTTTTTTACTAACATTTTCTAATACTATTCCTTTTCTTTAACAATTTTGTTTAATATTATTCATACTAATATCTTTATTACTAAAATACTTTACTATTTCTATTTCTTTCTTTTAAATATTAAACAGATAAAAATATATTTGATACACATAATTCTAATTTTTTATATAGCTAGAATAATTTTTATATGATTTTTTGTAATTTTATTTATTTGTAATTAATTAACAATTAAATAAATAAATTAATATTATAATTGAATTTAAATTATAAATTTATTAGCATTCATATTATTGCATTAAATAAATATCATTTTTGATATGCGTTCAATAATAAAATCAGTAAATTATAGCTATTAGCCTATTAAGCCTATTAGGTATACTTTAGACATGTACTGTATATCGGCACTATCTGATAAATGTATAATATCTATCCGATATTTTACTATAGACAAACATAGCTTGAGCTTGAATTTTATTAATTAATGCCGTAAGTCACTTTGGATGATATTTTACTATAGGCAAATATGGCATAGTAGCCTTTATCTTTATTAAATTTATTCGAACTTTACAATTTACAAAAATAAAAAGAAAAATAAAAAATAAAACTAACTAAAAACAAAGCTATATAGTCTCCTAAGAAAAAATAAAGTAAAAAAAAATTAATCTAAAAAAGAAAAATCGCATTACACTAAATTTCCCCAGATCTTCCCCCTTGATATATTCCAACCAAAGTAGAAGTAACTATGCTAACAAAATAACTAATAGCGCGCCCACTATATAAATTGACACTCCATCCTGCAAAAGCTGTTATTAAGTAGCACCGTTAGACGACCCATAAAACCTGAAAAGTGATTAAACCAAGGCAAACCATATTTCATCGAGTTTTTCAACCAATCGGTACTAGAGTCACGTGAATCATGTAGGTTGACAGTGGCAAATTAGACAGCCTTGGAGTAGATTTCAACTTATAAGTAATATTCATCGCGTTTTCCCATTGATAGGTCTCATAAGAACACGAATTCCAAATTCGTTTTCTGAATTTTTGAACAAAATTGTTATGGATAGCAGCGATAACCTTTATTGCAGAATTTCAAGGAATAGACAAGTCGACAAATAAGTCAACAAAGAGCTTGGGTAGACAACCACGGACAAGGGCATAGGAGGACTAATTTGTATAGGAAAAGGACCAGCATAAGAGAGAGGTGAGTTTAATAATAAACGGAGCAGGATCAATGTTAGCCAATTTTCCAGCTTCTTGAATTTTGGAGATCAAATGATTTTGATAAGATTGGAGGATTTGATGCATAGGTAAGTGACGTCTTTTGCACATAAACAGGTGCATTAAATCTTCCATGTGGTCGATACAGGAACGACAAGTTAATTCGTCCATGTATAAGTCTGGACGTGCTCTTTTAAGCTTTTCCAACATGGGTAATTCATCCAAGAAAAGTTTAAATTTGAAGGTGTGGTGCCGCGAAGCATGTTCATAAGTGAAAGATGCGTCATGAGAAGGTTCAAATTTCAAAGTAAACCAAGTGAGATCCCAATCAACAATATAATCTATATTGGATGATGATAAAGAAGTAAAGTGAAAACGTGTTAATTGTAATAAATTACGCATCAACTGCGTTTCTTAAGAAGATGTCTCGGATTGGATTCGCAGATGACATTGTTATCATAGGTTAAGACAAAATCGTGGGCAGAAGCAAGATCCAAGCCAGAGATCAAAATACTGGATGGAGAAGTATAAGCAGTGTTGGCCACAGCAAAATCATTCAAATAATTGCCAGAATGGGCCTTAAAAGTTCGTAGTTTTATAATAAAGCCGGCTATTAGAGTAGGTAGAAGAAAAACAACTTCAGAGGCCATCAATGGCAGTTTGCGAGTCAGTATAAATAGTAACTTCTGAGTCGCGAGGAGTGATAGTTAAAACTGCATAGATAAGAGGGATTATCCCAAATAATGCCATGTGCATAAGTAGCAATAGAGTTGGGAAAGCAGCATCTGGTACAATTTGCATCCAAGACCAGCCTATAGAGACATCAGGAGTTCCTAAGCTAATAAGTGACCCATTAGTGAAAAAGATGTATCGTGAATCCATAGAAGGGATTAAAGGAGAGTTAACAAAGACAGTGGCAGCTGAGGATTCAATAGTGGTAGGGATAACAGGAACCTCAATGGCGTCTACAGCAGAAAAATCAGGAACAATATCCCATCTATTATAATGGAGACAAACACCATCTTCTATATCAGCCCACGTAAAAGCAAATGTTGTAAAGAGACCTTTGGTGTGCAAAGAGTTAAATCAGCATTCCGTCTTTTAGAAGGAAGTAAAGGAGTATGAGCAGCACAACTAGGGCAGGGAAAAGGTTTAATGAGGTCACCAGGCAAGGATTCGCAATCAGGAGAAATCCTTGAACCAAAAGTCTTTTACCAAAGAAAGGAGAACCAAATTCATTCAACATGACAATCCAGTTCATGGTAGTAGGAGGAGAAGAAAGTCAGGATTCAAATTCATAGAATGAGGAGTCGTTCGCAGGTAGAGGGATGATGTATTCATCAATTAAACGATTATTAGTATCAGGAGTAGTGGTTTGTCGTTGGATATCTTTATACCAATAAGGAATATGACTAAGGTTGCTTGTCTAAACCTCTTCAAAATCCTACGATTAGTTTCATCAAAATTTTACTATAGATTTATTATAGTTTCGGCAGAGTTTCAGCAGTTTTGACATTTATAATAAGTTTCGGCAGTTTCGCCTTTCTCCAAAGTTTCGCCAGTTTTTTAATATAACTTTAATATAGTTTCAGCAGAATTTCACTTTTTGGTGAAACGCCATCTTGCCTAAACCCCTAGGTTTCGGCAAGCAACCTTAAATATGACCTCCAACCAAATTATCATAATAAGCCTTCCAAGAGATTAAATGGGTGCCTTGAGGAGTTACAAGGTGAGATAAATAAAACAGCTGTCATTTACGTAAGATATGATAATAAGCTTTGAAAGCTTTGGGTGTCATGCATTCAAATAAAGGGATGTAACCATCAAATGAAGATAAATTTGGCAGCTTTGACAGTTGAGCTTGAGACAAGCGAAAGAGAGTAGAATTCAAGAGAGCAATAATGCATACAATATAATCCTTCTTGAAAGAAAGAAGAGAAGACCAGATAGACCAGTCCTTAATTAAAAGGGGAGAAATAGGAATCAAAAAATTATATTGAAGTAAACACAATCTATACACTGGCCTACAAAAAGTATTCAGATTTTCATCACGTGATTTTGCGCCTCTGTGTTACAATCGGCGATTTCTCCCTATCACACATATAAATAAAGGAGATAACAAAATATTTATTTTTCACTCCTCTTCTAGTTTTAAATGCGTGGAAAAGAAGTTTCAAAGACCCACTGGTAACGAATTATTGGCGCATATCTTAGTGGTATCAGGCAAAGAGTTATTTCTACTCAGTTTGGTATTCCGACCAGTACTGTAAATGATATTATAAAAAAGTATAAAGAAACAGGTTCTACAGAACCTAAGAAACGTTCTAGAAGACCAAAAGTTCTCACTGAACGTGATACCCGAGCTTTAAAACGTATCATCCGAACTAGGGATTGGAATCGATTCTGCAATAGTCGAATTAATCGAAAATCGTTTCTGAATCGATTAATCGAAAATCGCATAAAAAAATCGAATCTGACGCCTAAACAATTTTTTCATTCTTATGACCTTTTATGGTCTTAGTCAATTGTTTGTTTGGCTTAAAATAATATAAAAAATTTGTGTTTTAACGATTAAATAAAATTTTAATTCCGGCTGGCATTAAAGCTCGGCCGGAATTAACTTCGTGTAACTTAGAATTTTTTGGTTACAAGGCGGTACAAAACTAACAATCAATAGGGAATACACGCGTTTATTACTGCACAAAGGCTTTTGCTTAAGTGAAACTATTTTTAATGGTTAAAATTGGTCAATTTGACTTAGAAAGTGGTCGATTTGGCCTATTG